GGAATAATCGGACCCGAGTACTCCGATCATTGGATGATCGGCGCAATCGGATTCCGATCGTATTGGGCTCCATTTTGGAATCTGTGGGATTCCAATTGGACGACCGGGATAATCGGACCCGATTCCTCCGATCATTGGAGGATCGGCGTAATATGATTCCGATCGTATTGGGCTCCATTTTTGGAATCCGATCTTGGGATTCCAATTGGACGATCGGAATAATCATATCCGATTCCTCCGATCATTTGGATGATCGAGTAATCGGAATTCCGATTACTCCGATCATTGGATGATCGGAATAATTCAGATCTGATTACTCCTCCATCATTGGATGATCGGCAATAATAGGATTCCGATCGTAATTGGCCCATTTTGGAATCGGTGGATTCCAATTGGACGGAACGAATAATTCGGATCCGATTCTCGATCCCATTGGATGATCGTAATAATCGGATCCGATTACTCCGATCTTGGATGATCGGAATAATCTGATCCGATTACTCCGATCATTGGATGATCGGCGTAATAGGATTCCGATCGTATTGGGCTCCATTTTGGAATCTGTGGGATTCCAATTGGACGATCGGAATAATCGGACCCGAGTACTCGGATCATTGGATGATCGGAATAATCGGATCCGATTACTCCGATCATTGGATGATCGGCATAATCGGATCCGATTACTCCGATCATTGGATGATCGGCGTAATCGGATTCCGATCGTATTGGGCTCCATTTTGGAATCTGTGGGGTTCCAATTGGACGATCGGAATAATCGGACCCGATTACTCCGATCATTGGATGATCGGCGTAATAGGATCCGATTACTCCGATCATTGGATGATCGGAATAATCGGATCCGATTTCTCCGATCATTGGATGATCGGCGTAATAGGATTCCGATCGTATTGGGCTCCATTTTGGAATCTGTGGGATTCCAATTGGACGATCGGAATAATCGGATCCGAATCCTCCGATCATTGGATGATCGGAATAATCGGACCCGATTACTCCGATCATTGGATGATCGGAATAACCGGATCCGATTACTCCGATCATTGGATGATCGGCGTAGTAGGATTCCGATCGTATTGGGCTCCATTTTGGAATCTGTGGGATTCCAATGGGACGATCGGAATAATCCAACCCGATTCCTCCGATCATTGGATGATCGGCGTAATAGGATTCCGATCGTATTGGGCTCCATTTTGGAATGTGTGGGATTCCAATTGGACGATCGGAAGAATCGGATCCGGTTATTCCGATCATTGGATGATCGGAGCAATCGGACCCGATTACTCCGATCATTGGATGATCGGAAATAATCGGATCCGATTTCTCCGATCATTGGATGATCGGCGTAATAGGATTCCGATCGTATTGGGCTCCATGTTGGAATCTGTGGGATTCCAATTTGACGATCGGAATAACCGGATCCTATTCCTCCGATCATTGGATGATCGGAATAATCGGATCCGATTACTCCGATCATTGGATGATCGGAATAATCGGATCCGATTACTCCGGTCATTGGATGATCGGCGTAATAGGATTCCGATCGTATTGGGCCCCATTTTGGAATCTGTGGGATTCCAATTGGACGATCGGAATAATCGGATCCGATTCCTCCGATCATTGGATGATCGGAATAATCGGATCCGATTACTCCGATCATTGGATGATCGGAATAATCGGATCCGATTACTCCGATCATTGGATGATCGGCGTAATAGGATTCCGATCGTATTGGCTCCATTTTGGAATCTGTGGGATTCCAATTGGACGATCGGAAGAATCGGATCCGATTCCTCCGATCATTGGATGATCGGAATAATCGGATCCGATTACTCCGATCATTGGATGATCGGAATAATCGGATCCGATTACTCCGATCATTGGATGATCGGCGTAATAGAATTCCGATCGTATGGGCCCATTTTGGAATCTGTGGGATTCCAATTGGACGATCCCCATAACGATCGGAATAATCGGTCCGATTCCCCCGATATTGGATGATCGGAATAATCGATCCGTTACTCCGTCTTGAATATCGGAATAATCGGATCCGATTACTCCGGTCATTGGATGATCGGCGTAATACGATTCCGATCGTATTGGGCCCCATTTTGGAATCTGTGGGATTCCAATTGGACGATCGGAATAATCGGACCCGGTTCCTCCGATCATTGGATGATCGGAATAATCGGATCCGATTACTCCGATCATTGGATGATCGGAATAATCGGATCCGATTACTCCGATCATTGGATGATCGGCGTAATAGGATTCCGATCGTATTGGGCTCCATTTTGGAATCTGTGGGATTCCAATTGGACGATCGGAATAATCGGATCCGATTCCTCCGATCATTGGATGATCGGAACAATCGGATCCGATTACTCCGATCATTGGATGATCGGAATAATCGGATCCGATTACTCCGATCATTGGATGATCGGCGTAATAGGATTCCGATCGTATTGGGCTCCATTTTGGAATCTGTGGGATTCCAATTGGAAGATCGGAAGAATCGGATCCGATTCCTCCGATCATTGGATGATCGGAATAATCGGATCCGATTACTCCGATCATTGGATGATCGGAATAATCGGATCCGATTACTCCGATCATTGGATGATCGGCGTAATAGGATTCCGATCGTATTGGGCTCCATTTTGGAATCTGTGGGATTCCAATTGGACGATCGGAATAATCGGATCCGATTCCTCCGATCATTGGATGATCGGAATAATCGGATCCGATTACTCCGATCATTGGATGATCGGAATAATCGGATCCGATTACTCCGATCATTGGATGATCGGCGTAATAGGATTCCGATCGTATTGGGCTCCATTTTGGAATCTGTGGGATTCCAATTGGACGATCGGAATAATCGGATCCGATTCCTCCGATCATTGGATGATCGGAATAATCGGATCCGATTGCTCCGATCATTGGATGATCGGAATAATCGGATCCGATTATTCCGATCATACCGGCGCCAGCGAGCGTCGCCAATAACAACAACAACAACAATAACAACAACAACAACAACAACAACAACAACAACAACCAGAATCCGCATCGCGAAATTCCACTTCAGCCACGCACCCAGGGACAGTGAATGACCGTTCGGTTCAGCCCCCTCACTCTGATTAAGCATCCTGGAGACTATATTGGGCTCGCTGGGGCCTCTTGGAGACATCTTGTGCTACCTGGACGCTTGAACGAGGGCGACGCCCCTCTCCGAAGATGAAAGGACTTGGAAGGAGGAGCTCGGTGAACCACTCACGCCCTGAAAGGCTGATGGGACACGTAGATGCACAGCTGCCCGCCTAGCATGTAGTCCAGGGTTGAATGCGCACTGCTCATCGCGTTTCGAAGCCGAACCCATGGAAAAACAATATAAGGCCTCCTACCGAAATTGTTGAAGCCCTCGTGCACAGAAATGCGCAGCCCCAAGTCACTCGAGAAACAGCAAGGTCGCTTTCTGCATCCATGCCGCTTGCCGGCGGTTTTTCCGCCCACCCCTTTCGAGCTGGCATGAGGGTCGCAGTCATTGCGGCGGTATTGAACCGGCGATGCGATGGTGGTCGACATGGCCTCCGACCAAAACGCGCCATCCAGGGCGACCAGAGCGACCTGGGAGGACCATCGCAACATGCCCCTTTTTCTACGTTTCTCGTTTCCCTTGCCCTCTTGCCCCTCATACAGTTTTTTTCTGGGCTCACAGCATGGCGGTATACCCTCTGACAATGCCGTCTCGACAGCTTGCTCTTCGACCAGGTATGGGGTGAGAGAGGAGGGGAGGAGCACGAGACCCTCAAGCGATGGCTTCCTGAGGGCCATGCAGCACACAAGTTTTTGTGCGAACCGAAATCTGCAAACACCATGTATTCATGTTCCAACTTGTCATGCCAGCCCGCAGTGGACGGAGAGGCAATCGACCTTAGAAACCATTCGGTTTGGGGATGCTGCACTCCGGCCATACTTCATAGTCTTCGACCTCCTGGGGCCCTTAGACTGTCAGAAAAGGACTCAGGATGAAGACTTGGTTCTGGGGGAAGGCCCTGGGATCCAGGACCCGCTCCCCTCTAGCCCTCTAGGAGCCGTTTCCTGTATGTTGAGGCGCAGGGCGTTGTCGCCGCTGTCTCTGGTGTGTTCGTCAAGGATCCCCACTGTGACGTGGCATTGTTTCACAGCGGGCGTTTTTGTCGACGATATTGCAGTCATTTTGCGTCGTCGGATATCAGGGATCGAGAGTCGGGGCGGATGGGGTACCGACGTCTCTGGATGTCCTAGGGCCTGCCCCTGGGCTCAGGGGGGCTGTCTGGAGGCCTCTGGGAATCTCCCAGGACCGACCAGCGCCGCGGTCGCGAACGTTGCGTTCGCCATCGTCGTCGCCGCCGTCGCCGTTGTACGTTTCAGAGGGACCTAGAGGAAGGGTGCCCTGATTGTTGTTTCTCGTTGTTTTGCGGGCTTCCAGGGCCTTCCATAGGCCCCGGGATGGCCATATATCAGCTTGCGACGGCAAGCTGACGCCCCGGGTCTGGGACACGATTCCATCAAAAACAGTTATCTCCCACATTCAGGAGGCAAGTAATTTTCGGTTGCCATGAAAACGTGCGAATCTATAGGAAGTGGAGGGGAACACCAAACATCCATCACAGATGCATACATATATGGAATTTGTTGTTTCTTATTTCTTTTGCTCCCCTATTTGGGGGCGTCCTGGGAGCCCCTCCTCGCCACCGCTGGATTCGCTTCGAAATTGTCGTCAGAACGCACCCCGGGAGAGGTCTGGGCAGTGGCGGTATCGGTACCTGTTGGTCTCCCCAGAATCAACTTGGAAAGGCCGCGGCGCCCAGCGTATCCTCCAGAAGACCCGCGGCTCCCGGCACATCCTCCATCCTGGCACCTGGGCAGTCCGTACCCGATCTCTTCGCATCCCGCCCCCGTTGTGGGCGGGTGGGGGCGGAACGGAGACGCGCGAGGGGATGGGGAGCCGGCTTGCTGCGTCGAGCGGCATGGGCGACGGAGGAGCCCCCACTAAAAAGCGGGCAGGGGCTGTGCTCACGGCGTGCGAGTTGCTGCGCACGGTGGACCATGCCACGAAGGACGGGAGGGGCGCCCCCCCATGGTTGTTCCCGTGATCGACGAAAGTGCACTCGAGAATACATGAGAAGGACTGGTTTGGACTCGGGATGGGCTCTGGCTTCCGGGGCGCTCCTTACCTCTAGTTCGGGGGTTTGATTCGTGGCCGAGGCTCGCAGCAGCCTCAAAAACCCCTCCGTCCCTTCCTCGGCGTTCCTGACTGTGCAAAGATAGTTGCGTTCATGGATACCGAGGCGCGAACCCATGGATGCGCGATTCCAATGGCATGCTCCCCGCGGCGCTTCCGCGCAAGGCCGCCCCGTGTCCTTGGGATTCGCGACCGATGACGATGATGAAGATGAGGATGAGGATGATGATGGTGATGATGGTGATGATGCTGATGCTGGTGCTCATGGTGCTGATGCTGGTGCTGTGATGGTGGTGGTGGTGGTGGTATTGATTATGATGATGATGATGATGATGATGATGATGATGACGATGACGATGCTGATATTGATGTTGCTGATGGTGATGCTGTTGGTGATGATGATTGTGTTGCGGCTGCTGCTGATGTTGATAATGATGATGATTATGATGGTGACTATGGTGATGACGGTGGTGGTGGTAATTGTGGTGACGGCGACGAACACGATGATGATAATGATTATGTTAATGACGGCTGTGTTGTTGGTACCATGGTGATGATGAGGATACTGATGGCGATGATGATGCTGATGGTGATTATGATGATGATGCTGATGATGGCTGTGGTGGTGGTGGTAGTGGGTATGATGATGATGATGATGATGACGATGTTGATATTGTCGTTGCTGATGGCGATGCTGTTGGTGATGGTGATTGTGCTGCGGCTGCTGCTGCTGATGATGATACTGATGATGATGATGATGCTGATGCTGATGGTGACTATGGTGAGTGGTGGTAATTGTGGTGACGGCGACGAACACGATGATGATAATGACGGTTGTGTTGTTGGTACCATGGTGATGATGAGGATGATGATGGTATTGATGACGATGATGATGTTGATGTTGATGCTGATGATGATGTTGATGATGAAACTGATGGTGATGCTGATGATGAAACTGATGATGATGATGATAATGCTAATGATGATGATGCTGATGATGATGATGATGATTGTGATGCTGGTGATGATGATGATGATGATGATGATGATGATGATGATGATGATGATGCTAATGCTGATGATGATTATGATGATGATGATGATGATGACGATGATGATGATGATGATGATGATGATGATGATGATGTTGATGTTGATGATGATGATTCTTCTTGTCGTGGTGGTTGTGGTGGTGGTTGTCAGGATGAGTATGGCGATGATGGAGATGCCGATCAGCAGGAAACAGGCGAGGTGGGGGAGCAGGGCGAGTGGGTGGAGGTGGGTGGGGAGGTGGAGGACGGCGGGGAGGGTGAGGAGGAGGAGGAGGAGCGGGGCGAAGAGGAGACATGGGAGGAGGACGAGGAGAATGAGGAGGCTTCCGCTCTGCGTTGGCGGCTCGTCCGCGGCGCCAGCGCGTGCGGAGCCGCGCGTGGGGGGGGGGGGGGGGGGCGCTTCCGAGGAGCGCGAGCTCTGCGCCAAGGCGCTCGGCCTGCTGATGCCCGGGGCGGAGGACCCGCCCGTAGGCCTCTCTGGTGACCAGGCCCTCCTCCGGCGCCCAGTCTCGAGGGGAGCGACGATCCTCAGGCGTGTGCTTATCCCTTCGCCTCTCCACAGTTACACAACATACATACTATTCTCCTCTCCACCCCGACGGCCCCGAGGTCGTAGCATGCCACCCTCCGCGTATGGTTCAACGGTGCTCGATAGTACGTGCTTTTCCAATCCCCACGTTCTCGGTGTTGGCAGACTAGCGTTCCCGCTAAAGCGTTGGCTCCATGTTCTGGCTTCCGGTCCTTCCGAATCTTATGCCCGCTGCACCTCCGACCTCATTTCTTTATTGCGGATCTTCTAAAGCATGTTCCTCTGCAGCTTTGGCTCTCAGTTAATACTTGTGTCTGCTTGTGCGTTGTCGGATCCGGTTATTCTCGGTCTTTCCAGAAAGGCGATCTCGCTTCATTGTTAGCTCCATTTCCGCACTTCAGCTCTTGCACAATGGCGCTCCCGTCTCATCATTGGCTCGATTTCCGTGTTCTCGGCCAATTCGGAGAGGAGATCTATGCCATGGTCAGGGATGTGAGGGACAGGTATGCCGTCAGATCTGACGCGAGCGCACCAGTCACCGAGCTTGTCTTCCCCCCCTTTGTTCTTGCTCCTCTCCTCATCCTCGTCCTCCTCCCTCCACTCATCTTCTCCTCCCTCCTGTCAACCCCCTCTCCTCTCCTCCTTTCCTCCTTTCCTCACTCCTCCTCTTCGCATCATCTCAACTCCCCACTCCTTTCCTCCTCCCCTCCCCCCTCCCACTCTCTTTCCCGCTTCTCTCCTTCTCTCCCCTCCTCTCCTCTCTTCCCTCCTCCCTCCTGTCTCGAGGTTCGAGGGGATCGATGATCCTCAGAACGTGTCTTGGCCCAAATGTGTGTTTACCCTGTTCGGTTTCCCGAATGACGAAGAACATGATCAACACATGCTGGCTCGCAGGTCCGCGTTTATTTCTTTGGTCGGCCTTGCCCACCCCCATGGCGGCGCCTCCGGCGCCTCCCTGGTGTGGTCCGCGCGCCAGGGAGGGGGAACCAGCGATGATCAAAATAAATTCGCACGGACCTGCGTGAAATCATTATGTTTATGCCGTTGTGTGTGCGTCCAATCTGCCGATAGCACGCAGTCTAGGTAGGCTGGCCCGCATTACTCCGCCTGAGTGGTACGGCAGGGCTTCGGTGGATAAAGCACAGGTTGGCGCCAGCACACGTTCTGGGGACTATCGAGAGGACCTTTTGGACGGTCTGGGTCCCTCCTAGGCCTCCCAGGCCTGCCTTCGCGGCCACGGCCGTATCCGCCTCGAAGTCTTAATCAGCGGCATGTGGGTCTTTCTGTCTTCCCAGGTCCACAGGTTTGAGGTGGCATGGAAGCACATTCAGCGCACCACCACATGGGGGGGAAGCGGAATACTCATCATCCCTCCTCCTGCTCCGCCCCTTCCTCTCCTACCTCCTCCTCCCTTCTCCTGCTCCTCCATCCTTCCCACCCTCATCCCTTCTCCCTCTCCCTCCTTCTCCCCCCCTCAATGACCCATCCCCCCCTCTCATCACTCCGCCTCCCTCCTGCTCGTCCCCTTCCGCCTGCTCTCCTCCTTTTCCCCCCTCCCAGGAGGACTCCGCCGTCCTTGCTGCGGCGTGCGATGGACTTCGCAGGCGCCCGCCCTGTGCGCGCGCTCCCTCCTCCGCCTCCTCCTCATCCTCCTCCTCCTCCCCATTCTCCTCCCTCGTACATCCTCCTCCCACTCCTCCTCCTCATCCTGATCCCTCCTCCTCCTCCTCCTCCTCCTCCTCCTCCTCCTCGTGCCTCGCTCTTCCTCCCCCTCCTCCTCCTCCTCCTCCTCCCCCCCCTCCTCCTCCGCGTCGGGCGTCCCCCGTCGCTTTACAGCCCCGCTCAGAACGGGTTCCAGGACATATCTAGAGGCTGATTTTGGTGGTGGAGGAGAGGCAAGCGACAAGCGAGGAAAAGGAGGGAGTACCCGGGAAGATGATGGGGATGAGGGAGAGGATGCACATAGATTTACACACAGTGTATATTTCAGATCTATAGAAATCCGCCGACCTTGTCGGCGTGTGTGAGGGGCTTGTCCGTTCAAGTCGTCATCTCCGTCATTCGTTGGTCGTCGTCTCTGTTGTCCCCTTTCCCTGCCTCCCCCCTTTCCCTGGGCTCGTCGAAGCTCCCCCCTTTCCCAGGGACATCCTCAGCGCGCCGGCCAAAGCGAAAGTAAGCAACGTCGCAATTGAGTCGAAGGGAAGCCCCTTCCCTTCGATCCCTCCCCCCCAAGGGGGGTTTGGGGGGTGGGGGGGAGGTCCCGAGGGGGGGGGGTCAGACGCCCCGGGGGGGGGGTCAGATACGACGCCCCCCCTGGCAGTCCCGGAGCCCCAAAAAAGCCCTCAGACGGGCCAAGAGTGCCCCAAGAGGCCCAAAGACAGTCCAAGAGAACCCCGAATCGCCGAACGATCTGTCCTAGACGCCTTGACGGCCTCCAGACGGCCCAAGAGGCCTGCAAAGCGCCCCTAAGAGGCCTCCAGGAGCTTTCCCACGAGAGCCCCAAGAGGCAAAATTTATGGATTTCCAATACGTTTTTGAAAGATTCTGGCGTTTTTGCCTCTTCCGCTTCCCGACGCGCCAAGACGGCCCAAGAGGCCCCCAAGATCGCCCCGAGACGGCCCAAGAGGCCCCCAAGAGGGTCCCCTAACGGCCGAAGAGGGCCCCAAGACGGCCCAAGACGCCTCCAAGGCGGCCCAAGAGGCCCCCAAGACTGCTCCAGGAGAGTGCCCAGACAGGGGACCCGAACGGACATTTCGAGCTCTCAGCCCCAAAAGGCCCCCAAGAGGCCCAGAAGAAGCCCCAAGAAGCCCCAAGAGGCTCCCAAGGGCCCCCCACACTGCCCCAAGACAGCCCAGGAGAGCCCCAAATTGCCCAGGAGGCCTCCAAGAGTGCCTCGAGACGGCGCAAGAGGAACCCTGGACGGCCCAAGACGGCGTCAGGAGAGCCACAGGCTGTCCCAAGAAAGCCTCTGGCCTCCTCCTCCTCCGCCTCCTCCCCCTCCTCTTCCCCCCCTCCTCCTCCTCCTCATCCTCCTCCTCCTCCTCCTCCTCCTCCTCCTCCTCCTCCTCCTCCCCTCCTCATCTGCTTCCCCTCCTCCTGCTCTCCTCTGCCTCCTTCTCCTCCTCTTGCTTCTTCTCCACATCCTTCTCCCCCCTCCTCCTCTCTCATCCACCTCCTCCACCCTGCCCCCCCCTCGTTTTCATCTTCGTCGCTCTCATGGTCGGCGGCAACGGCCTTAAGGCCTTCGCAATAAACATGTGTCGGTACAATTTCATGCCGGAGGAGCAGGAGGAGGAGGAGGAGGAGGAGCAGGAGCCACCCGCCCGAGGCTGTGCCCAACGTCGCTAAAAAGTATCGACCGGGAGCCAACATCCCGCAACAGAGTCGGACGATTTGGATTGGGTCGAGCTGAAGCAAGATCGGGTCGGACGAACGGGTTGTGGTGGGGACTGGTGTGTGTGTGTGTGTGTACGAGCTCTGATGCATGCAGCTGGTTTCGTAACCGCCGATCGACACATTTATCGATGCATTGTGCATTTGGCTGCCGCAGGTGCGACAGCTTGACCCGCAAGGGGCGATCATCTCTCGCATCTTCTGGTGGGAAGAGGCCACTTTCCCGTCCCGACGCAGGTGTGGTCGGCACGTGGGCCATCCCAGCGCAGCCCCATCTTGCCTTCTCGGACGCACGGGGTGCGGTGAAGGGTCCGTCGGTGGCCGATGCTGTGGCGGCTACTGACGAGGTCCTCGGTGCTGTCAAACACTTCGGCCGGGCGTCGCTCGTTGCCTGGCCGCGAGGCTTTCCAACGTGGCGCGGTGGTCTGCTGCGCGCAGTGCGGGGCCCACTGCTCCTGGCAGGCAGGGGCTGGCGGGCGCAGCAGCTTCGGCCTCGGTTCGCCCTGGATGCTCCAGCCTTCCCGACCGAGCTGGCGGCGGGGGCACCTCCGAGGCCGCCGCCTCTCCCGCAGCGGCCCCTCCTGCGGCGTGGGATGCGTCAGACTCCTTCTGGCGCTCCGCTGTGCGGGCCCGTTCGTTGCCGGCTCCTCGTCGAGCACGGGCATACCGAGGAGACGTGAGGAGGGAAGCCCCCGGCGTGCAGCAAGGCGATGGGGGAGGAGGAGGAGAAGGCTGAAAGGAGTGCAATGATGATCATTGTGAAGAGGGGGAGGGCGGAGGGCGAAGAGGGGAGGAGGACGACGACGATGAGGATGAGAAAGAACGCGGAGCAGCAGGAGAGAGAGGAGACGGCGGAGGAGGAGGGGGAGGAGAACGATGATGATAATGCTGATTCTGATGATGCTGCTGCTGCTGATGATGATGATGATGATGATGGTGATGGTGATGGTGATGGTGATGGTGATGGTGATGATGATGATGATGATGATGATGATGATGATGATGATGCTGATGATGATGATGATGATGATGATGATGATGATGATGATGATGATGATGATGATGATGATGATGATGATGATGATGATGATGATGATGATGATGATGATGATGATGATGATGATGATGATGATGAGCGGAGGAGGAATATGGGGAGGAGAACAATAGCGATTGTGATGAGAGGCCAACGAGAAGGAGGAGGAGGAGGAGGAGGAGGAGGGGGAAGGGGAGGGGAAGGAGGAGGAGGAGCAGTAGGAGGAGGAGGGGGAGGAGGAGGAGCAACAGGAGGTGGAAGGATACCTTGTCCGCGGCGCGGAAACCGGCCGAGGCTCAGCGAGAGACGGCGCCTCGCCTTGGACGTCCTGGAGTCTGGCGCTGGATCGGGGGGGGGAGGCGTCTCCCTCTCTCTTTAGCGGGGGTGGGGGTGCTCCAAGGTGGAGGAGCGAAAGGAAAGGGGAGAGGGGCGGAGGGGGTGGAGGACGAGCAGGCGGATAAGTATTTGTTGTTGTTCCCGCGGGTCGTCAACCATCCGCCATCTATATATCCCTGAGAGGGTTCCTGGAGGATGTTGAGACGTGGCGAATCCGGAGCTCCAGAAAGAGACACCGTTGGCAAATCAAGTCCCGTATTGCGCAATCCAGGTAACCCTTCTTTCGTTTCGTCTGAAGGTCTTTCGCAATCTGGGGCCAACCCAAACTCCAAACTTCCCAGCTTCTGTGCGCTGTCACTTGAGGCCTCGAATGCTGCCATGAGAGGTGAGGGAGGGGGCCCTCGAGTGCTGCAGGGAAGCATCGCGTATTTGTGGCCGAAGCGTGAGGAGAAGTATGCCGAGCATGTCTTCAGACTGATGCATTTTTCTGGATCAGGTTTCTTTCCGTCTATGGGCCAACGAATCTGTTAACGTTACTTAGAACTCGCAAGTCCCGAACCGAACTCTTCAACCACTACTGGTTCCAGTGTCAGAATATTGTGGGTCAGCACTTTGAGAGACATAGCCGATATCTTCAAAAGCGCGCAAAGGTGAGCATGCCGTCAGAATATTGGCAGCTAGCTTACAGTTAGCTTTCGCAAGCTTCACACAAAGGTCTGTTGTTTCCAGATCTCTGCGTCCCTCGGATGAGCGAGCAGGATATCCTTGGCTCCTTTGTCCGCAACGTGGTTCCCGGATCGATCGCTGCTGATATTGTTTCTTTTGGCGTTTTGGCTGTTAACACTTTTGTCATGCTGTGTCGCCTTGGACGTCTCAGCAAATGCAGAAATCAATCAATCATGCGCACATGCGGGCAGTGGAAGTATGACAATGTCTCGGTAGTTCTGGCACTGCTCTCATAAGTGTACATTCCGTGGGCACTTGACTAGGCCCCGCTAGACATACGGTGGCTCTCCCCTGCCAGACAATTCGAACAGCTTCAGACGTTTTTAGCAGGAGAGGGTGGACAACCAGGATACGTCATGGCACAACGATGTACGCCGTCTCCAGAACACTAGGCACACCATGAAGCTCGATTTAGCCCCTTGTTAACGTTCCGCGGCACGAGAAATACGTAAATGCTGTAGCTTGCATGGCGGCGTGGTCAGGCGGTGGAGGAGCCAGATTCCAATTAACTTGTCAGGCACCTTCAGAGAGCGGGTGTTGTAGTCGTCTGCAGGGTGTGCCATACCACCTTCTCTCGTGTCGATTGTTAGGCTGGCCTTCGACGTGCCGTATCTTGGCACAGCAGCCATCGCTTCATTACGAACCAGCTCTCGTCGTACATTGTGCTTACGACCATCCATGGTCTATGATACATGGTGTCTGGAGCAGCGCAGCACTGTTCACATCTCAGGGAAGCACCGTACATTTTAGCTTGCATGACATGTGTGAGGTACGGGTTGGATTCACACGTGTATAAGCTGCTCCCGTCGCCAGAAATCCTACCATGCTTCTCGTCCGCAGAGAGACGTTTTTTGGCAAGGCTCGCATTCACAACATCAAAGTAAGCATTGCCTGAGAAGGCTAGTTCAACACCAACGCCCCAGTCCAGCTGTCTGAGACCAGCTTATCGCAAACTACTCCGAACTGAATCATGCAAAATCAAAAAGACCGGCTTAGGTATACCTTTCTATCATTTTCATGTGTGACAAAGGCTTTCTTCTCCAGGCTGGTTCTCTGATGGCCGTTCCTCATGGTCAGCGTGCGTCTCCCATCCCCAATCCGTTTCTTGTTGGTTTCGGAGACGACAAATCGACCGCGAGGGATGAGCAGCTAGCTTAGCACGGTGAAGTTCTTGTTGCTAGCGGCCGATGAGCGCCACCTGAGGCATCCGCGTGGGGTCGTGCCCTCAGAAGGAACGCCGGATACGAGCGGTCACCAGCCGACGGCTTTACCGTGCTGGCGACGGGACGAGAGGACCAATAATCCCGAGTCAAACAGGCCATGCGCCTCTACCCCGTCAGATGAGGCACCAAGAGACACCGAACGCCAGACCTTTCAAAGCCTTACGACCGACCGTGCGAACGAGCTTCTGCGATTCGCTTTTCGTTGACGGCTTTGGGCCTTGACATGTCTATAGGAAGTCTAATGGGATTGCCCATGGTATCATCACTCCCGCGGTTGGCGCAGGAGGAGGCGGAGAAGAAGGAGGCGGAAGCGGAGGAGGAGGAGGGGGAGTTTTGATGAGGAGGCGAATGAGGAGGAGAAGGAGGAGGAGGGATGAGGAGGCGTATGTGGACGAGTAGGGATGATAAGGCGGGAGGATGAGGGAGGAGGAGGTGGAGGATGGAGAGGTGATGGGATGACAAGCTAGGTGCGCTCGCGCCATATCTGACATCCTAACCCTCCCACCCATCACTTCCCATTGCGCTTAGTGGTCTTTACACACCAACGCGTGTCATAGCGGACCTGGAACTCCAAAGAGGACCCCATCGTAATATGCGCAATCGACAAACAATGGAGATGTGTGTTTTGAGTGAGGATTTGGCGATGAGTAGGAGGATGAGCAGGAGGAAAAGAAGAACGAGGAAGGAGGAGGGCGAAGAGCAGTAGCAGCAGGAGCTGAAGTGAGAGGAGCGGGAGGAGCAGGAGAACCAGGGGGAGGCGGATGAGGGGACGTGAGGGGGGCGACAACGATGAAAAAGGACCATGATCTAGAACAGAAGGAGCGAGAGCGCCACTCTGAACGACGGGAGCAAAGCGCCGATCCGAACATGTGACCAACGATGCAGCGGGAGCACCTAGTTGAACCACCGATAACAGTTTATTGTAACAAGCCATACGAGAACAACATTCTACTTTGGAATGTGAAAACCAATACTTGGAGAGGGGCTAGTTTCCTCTTGGCAGAGTAAGGGGATAGAGGTAGTACTCATAATGTGTACTGGTGGAGGATGGAGGACGAGGAGGAGGGAGTTCAGTGGAGGAGGGAGGATGAGCAGTAGTAGGAGCTGGGTCGGCTTTTCGGTTCAGTTTCGTGCGTTGCGGAGGTATCGTTTGCGTGAAGCCTCCGTGCTCGTCAGAAAGACTGAGGACTGAGGGCGGGCGCGGAGCTGCTGGAGTGAGTGGCGGGTAGTCGCGTCGCGGGTAAATGTAGGCATCAAACCCGCTGGGTGCCGTCGGGGGGCGCGGGCAAGAGAGGGCTCGAGCTGCAGCACACATGCCCCACTCACTCTGCGCCCCTGCCTCGGCAGCGTGCCGCCCGTCATCACTGCCCGCGAGGCGGTGGGGGTCTTGGACGGCGACGACGGCGACGGCCGCGACGAGGATGACGAGGTCGTCGACGATGACGGCACCGAGGATGACGACGATGAGGGACCAGGCGGAGCAGCTTTCGCTTTTTCGGGCCTGCCAAAGGGGGCCAGCACATGTGTCAATCTTTCGTCTTGATCTAGAAGCCCCGAGCCCTGCTCCAGCCGCTCCTCAGTCGGGCCCCAGCCGAGCCCAGAGGCCAGGTCCGGCCTCCATCCACTGGAAAGCACATGGTTCACGATCCTGTGCAACAGATACTCTGCGGCGCACATCTGTGTTTCCCGACCCTCATCATCTGGTGTAGAAGTACCATGCGGTACACATCGGCGGTCCCGCACCCGCATGCCGTCCATGTGCTGCCAAGCGCTCACAGGCGCTCCGAAGCGCTTCCAGTGCGGCCCAGGCGCTCCCAATCCCTGGCGCTCCCAAGCGCTCCCAGGCGCTCCCAGTCGCCCCCAGACGTTGCCAGGCGGTCCCACGCGGCTCCAGGCGTTCCCATGCGCTCCCAGGTGCGGGGCTTCCAGGTGCAGAGGGCGCTCTCGAGCGCTCTCTGGCGACCCCAGGCGCTCCCAGGGGCTCTCGGGCGCAGGCGCCCCCAGGTGATCACAGGAGCTCCTAGGCGTTCCCAAGTGCTCCCCGGTGCTCCCTGGCGCTCCGATGTACTAGGAGGTGCTCCCAGGCGCTCCAGGCGCCGCCGGGCGCTCCCAGGCGCTGCCAAAGCTGCCAGGCGCTCCCGGGCGCTCCCGTGCGCTCCAGGCATTGACGACCAGGCGCTCCCAGGCGCCCTCGCGCGCTGCAGGCATCGATGTTCATGGGCGCGACTGGCCCGCGTGCGCCTTCACTTGCCATGTCGGTTGTTGTCGTCACTCTTCGTTACTCGTCGTCGTCGTCGTCGTCGTCGTTGACACGAGTGTGCATGTTATCCCTTCGGGGTGGAGAAGAGATTAACCATATAGGCAGAGGTCAGGGCGGGAGGGGTTGCCCGCTGCTGGCAAACTGGTGGACGTTTCACAATGCCCAAGACCCGACCCGAACTCTTAAACCACTGGCCGGAGGGGGGACGAGGAGCAGGATGGCGGAACAGCAGCAATCAGGATTACGATGGAGCCAGGGAAAGGGAACTCGTACCCATCAGCCTCCTTCCCTTCCAGTCGATGTGTGGGGGATGAAGACAAGGATGATGAGGCGGAGGGGGGAGAAGGGGGAGACGGATGAAGACGACGACGAGGAGGAAGAGGAGGAGACCGAGTAGGACGAGGACGAGGAGGGGGACGAGGACGAGGAGGAGGAGGATGAGGTGGATGAGGAGGAGGAGGAGGAGGAGGAGGAGACAGAGAAGGATGAGGCGGGGTAGGACGAGGAGGACAACTAAATTCAATAGCAGGACGAGCAGGGGCGAAGGAGGAGGAGGAGGGACGATCAATGTTGATGACGAGACGGAACGAGGAGAAGGAATTGAGGAAGATGAAGAGGATAACTATGATAATGAAGAGGAAGAGCTCGCCCCGCCGCACGTCTCCCCTCCGCGCCCCTGCGTCGGCAGCGGACCCGTCTTCGTTGCTCGCGAGGCGGCGGGTAGGCCCTGGACGACGGTGACGGCGCCGATTGCCGCGACGATGAGGACGACATCGAGGATGACGACGGCGGGGCGGGATGAGGAGGCGGAGGGGCGATGACGACGGCAACGGCGACGGCGACGACGCCGACAGGGGTCCGTGGCTGGGCCAGGCGGCCTCAGCAGCAAGTTGTTGCTGGAGCGCCTGCACGAGTTGTCCAGGCTCGTGACGGGCGGCCTGGGCGACACCAAGGAGGCGCCGAGGTCGAGAAGGGGAGGAGGAGGGAGGAGGGAGGGAGGAGGGAGGGTGGAGGAGGAGGGGGATGAGGAGGAGGAGGAGGAGGAGGAGGAGGAGGAGGAGAATTGGAGGAGGAGGCGGCAGATGAGTGAGCGAGGAGGAGCGGGGGGAGGACAAGCGATCGGGGAGGGTCATGGAGGAGGAGCGAGCGAGGAGACAGAGGAGGAGGAGCAGGAGGAGGAGGAGGAGGAGCTCCCCCCAGACCTCAAGTCGTGGCCTGGCAGTCGCTGGGACTGAAGTTTTGCATCTCTGGTTGCGTCTGGTCTTGGGAGTCCACAGTGCCGATCCCGAGAATACTCAGAGGCGGATGGTATCATGGGTACACTTATATTGGAGCTGCGACTAGGGGGAGGCGGAGGAGGAGGAAACTCGGGAGAAGTGGATGAGGAGACGGAGCGAGGACAAGGTAGGGGGAGGATGGAAACGGAGGTGTTCAGTTGTGTCTGGAGGTGTTTGATATTTTCGGGCTTGCTCGGATGGTGTCATCGGTGTCGGAGGCTTGCGGATGTGTCGGCCGTCGTTCGGAGACATCCGATCCGACGACTACACCGTTGAGGATGCACAGATGGGTGATGATGCGGATGGGAATATTTAGTAGGAGGAGGCAGAGAGGGATGTTGATCAGGCGGTGTCAACGTCGAAACAGGACGAGCATGAGGGTTATGAGCAGAGATACGTATACCAGTTGGCCTACCAAATAATGGTGATGGTGAGATGGACGGGGAGGAACATACTGACCCTTCGACGTACCTAACCCTTTCTACACATGTAGCGACGGTACACGGGATCGATCAAGACAGACGAGCATGTTGACGGACCTGCAGATGCCCACGACAGTGGCACAAGTTGCGCAGTTCGCAGCCGCCCCAGGGAGCCGCGAGGTCCCGGCTGGGTGTAAGACAATTCCACTCCGCTGGGCCTCCCAGGAACCCACGAACGTGGCGACGGTTGCGCACTCCGCAGCCACCCCAGGGAGCCGCGAGGTCTCGACTGGGTACGTTTGCATCTCCACTCCGCTGGACTTTCAAGGAGCCCACGAACGTGGCGACAGTTGCGCAGTTCTCTGCCCCCCATGGGAGCCGCGAGGTCTCGACTGGGTGAGATTACAACTCCACTCCGCTGGGCCCCCCAGGGGAACTTCACTCCGCTGGGCCTCACAGAGGCCCACGAACGTGGTGACAGCTGCGCACTCCGCAGCCACCCAGGGAGCCGCCAGGTCTCGGCTGGGTGTGTTCGCATCTCCACCCGCTTGGGCGTCCCAGGAGCCCACGAAAGTGGCGGCAGCTGCGCACTTCGCAGCCCCCTCAGGGAGCCGCGAGTTCTCGGCTGGGTGTCCCGCTGTGCCTCCCAGGAGCCCACGAGAGTAGCGACAGTCACGCAGTTCGCTGCCCTCCTCCCCCAGGGCGCCGCGAGGTCTCGACTGGGTGTGCTTGCACCTCCGCTCGCTTGGCCTCCTAGGAGCCCAATGACGTGGCGACAGTGGTGCAGCTCGCAGCCCCCCAGTGAGCAGCGATGTCTCAGCTGGGTGTGTTTACAACTCCACTCCGCTGGGCCTCCCAGGAGCCCACGAACTTAGCGACAGCTGCGCAGTTCGCAGCCCCCACATTGAGCCGCGAGTCTCGGCTGGGTGCGTTTACATATCCACTCCGCTGAGCTTCACGACGAGGGGCGACAGTTGCGCACCTCGCAGCCACGGGGAACCAGAGGTCTCGGCTGGGTTGATCTGCAATTCCACTCCGCTGGGCTTCCCATGCGCCCACGAAATTGGCGACACTTGCTCGGTTCTCTGCCCCCCCCCCAAGGGGGGCCACGAGGTCTCGACTGGGCGCGTTTACAACTACTCTCCGCTGGGCTTCCCAGGCCGCTGAGCTTCCCGGGAGCCCACGAACGTGGCGACAGTTGTGCAGTTCGCAACCAACAAGGGAGCCGCGAGGTCTCGACTGGATGTGTTTACAACTCCACTCTGCTGGGCCTCACAGGAGCCCACGTGGCGACAGTTGCGCAGTGCGCAGCCCCCCAGGGAGTCGCGAGGTCTCGACTGGGTGCATTTACAATTCCAGTTCGTTGGGCCTCCCATGGCCCCACGACCGCGGCGACAGTTGCGCAGTTCGCTGCCCCAGGGAGCCGCGAGATCTCGACTTGACTGTGTTTGTGTTTATGTGTGTGCGTTTGTGTGTGTTTGTGTGTGTTTGTGTGTGTCTGTGCGTGTGTGTGTGTGTGTGTGTGTTGTGTGTGTGTGTGTGTGTGCGCGCGCAACTCCACTCCTCTGGGCATCCCAGGAGCCCACGACACTGGTGACAGCTTCACATTTCGCAGCCCCCACCCCCAAGGAGGCGCGAGGTCTCCTCCCCCATGGGCACACGAGAGAGGCAGAGGCAAAGCGGGGCTGCAACGCAAGCAGGGCGAAGGAGAGAATGGGGGAGGAAGAGAAGAAAGATGAGACAGGAGGCAGGAAGTAGGAGACAGGACGCAGGAGGGGGGGGAGAAGGGAGGAGTGGGGACCACAGTGCTCTATTCAAAACGAGAACCCAACACAGGAGGGTTGTGACTAAGGAGGACCAGGATGGGCAGGAAAAGGGAGGAGGGAAGGATCTGGAGTCGGATGAGGGTCAAGTTAGCCAGGTCGAGCGAGTCGGCGGGCCTCGTCCACTCCCCCCTCCCTCCCCTCCCTCCCCTTGACATCAGAATATGTAATGCCACAAGTTGGTATTGGGAGTGGCGTGCGTTCCCCCCTCGCGGCCAGAGGACGCTCGCGCGCGGTCCCGCTTCCGACGCCGCGGCGAGCCGACAGTCCTTCGCAGAGGCGGGCGTGGAGTGCAGGAAGCCCGTACATTCAGCAAAACCGTTCGGGCGGCCAGAGTGTCGATGAGCCCGTCGAAGGCGAAGCATGTGCCGCGGCGCCAGAAGAAGAGCACACACTGCGCTGCGCTTCGGCGGGCACAGCATTTCGCTCGCTCTCGTGCGGCCCCAGGCGCCGCAGCCACGCGGGAGCGCCGCGGCCCCGTGCGCCGCGCCCACGAGGGAACGCCAACCCCCATCAGAGATGTGAATTGAGCTCTGTCAAGGGCGACCAGTCGCTCGCTTTCACAGGGCCCCAACACTTTCACTTGGCGATTTCCAAGCGTGGGCCGCGCCGAGGCGGCAGCGTCGCTGTCAGGCGAACTTTGAGCGGCGCCGAGACGAGAGCGTCAGTGTCGTCCGCTTGCGAGTCGGCAATTTGGCGAGCGACAAATGTGCGCCGCGCCTCACGGGGAGCTCGACGGTCAGGAAACATGGCAGCTGCACAAAGGCGAACATTTCATCTCGCCTTTGCGCGCGGGATGCCCGCCTCGCCACATCCCCGGCACGCAGTTTGCAGCGTCGGCGCCAAACAACAGTTTTGGCAGCGCAAGCGCAGGCTTTGAATTATATTACAGCAGGTAGCAGTCCGCACCCGGTCCATTCCGCAGTCGTGTAAGCATAGCGCAGTGACAGCAATTTTCAAAAACGTCGACGAGTCTTTGCCGCAGCATTACGGGACAATCTCCCTCCTCCCCGTCAGCTACTAGGTTGTGGCGAGCCTCATTTTGAACAGAATGGCGACTGGAGGGGTGGCGGAAAAACTGAGGGACACGCAGTTCGGTTTGCGGAAACGAAAGCTTTCCACGAATTCGGTTTTCTTATTCCACAAGGCGATTGAACGGATTTGGGCGTCCAGGGAGGGGCATTTTTCAGCGACGCTCTTAGACTGGCCGAGTCTTTGACCGGATCGACCCGGCAGCCCTCCAATTCGCTGTAGCCAGGTTTGGTATCCCGCCGGCAAATTGCAACACGATCGAGAACAGGTGTACGAATCGCACGTTCGACATGACATACATCCACGGCACTTCGAGCACGCGCCTAATCGGCGCGGGTATCGCCCAGGGATGCCCGTTGAGCCCGTACCTGTTCATCATCATGTTGTCCGTTCTCATGGCGGATGCACAAGCCGACTTGGTGAACGAGCTGGGCCCGACTCCACCTGGTTGCATGCGGTGCGACGTCACGTTCGCGGACGATACAGCGATTATCTCGAATGACATACCGAGAGCACAGCTTTTTCTCAACCGTTTAACTGTTCGACCTCCGCATACGGTCTGGAGCCAATATGGGCGAAGACCGTGCACTGCAGGTCAGACAAACATCGGACATCGTCGTTCCTGATGGGGCCCCTGTGAAGCCAGTGACGTCTGGCGTCTCCTTGGGAGGTCTTTTGTGTGCAGATGGCGGCACTGGTACAGCCGTTGCCACGAGAATCGGGGAGGCGAGGGCTGCGCTCCACATTTCGAATTTGGCACGGCGGCATCGGCGGCATGCCAACATTCCACGGAGACGCAAACTCATGTTGGTTCGGGCTTACATCATAAGCAAGCTGATCTACGGCATCGAGTCGCTCTGCCTCAAGATATCCGACCAGGACAAGCTCGATTCCTTTCAAGCGCAATGCTTGCGAAACGTATTGGGCATACCACATCCATGGTGTCGCTGGGCACAAACGCAGAGGTTCGCAGACGATCGCACGAAGTGACTTTGAGCCAAACAGCATTGCTCCGGCAGCTGCTCTTTTTTGAAGGTTGCGCCAGCTTCGTTTTTTCAGACGCACGGTTTTCAGCGCTGGAACCGTTGAGCCTGCCGGCCTGAATGCGTCAAGGCGGAGAGGCCTACCGTTTCTGATATGGGGCGCAGTGGTCAAAGCGCACGCACTTTCAGCGACACGGGGCCTCCCCCCTCCCTGTCCTCGCCCTCCTCGACCGTCGGGCCTTCGGGGCGAAAGGCCCCCGCACTTGGGGACGGCCGCCAAAGCGCGGTCCCCTTCCCCAGGGGGTCGCCTGGCGCGCAGGTCCCCCGTTCGGGCCAGGTTTCCCTCCCTGGTCTTCCCGTCCCAGGGGTCGTGCCGGGCGGTCCGTCCTCCCTGTCGGTCGTCGTCGTCCGTCGCGTCG